TGGCTATTTTTTTTAATTAATTTATTTATTTGAGGGAGGGAGGCAGAGGGAGAGAATCTTCAAGCAGACTTCAAATGGTCTGGCTCCTGCCCCCTCCAACACATTTCTTTTGTCTTTTTTTTTAAGATTTTACTTATTTATTTGAGAGAGAACACAAGCAGGGGAAGGGGCAGAGGGACAAGCAGACTCCCCCCTGAGTGGGGAGCCTGATGCCCAGGACCCTGAGACCATGACCCTTAACCAACTGAGCCACCCAGGCGTTCCTCATTTCTTTTGTCTTTAGCTGGAGGTGGTATTTCAGGTGGTGGTTTGGGCCATTTCAGGGAGTTAACTCAGTTTTCCTGGGTGTCTCCTACGTGTACAGGAGGTATACATGTTATTAAACTTCTGTTTGTTTTTCTCCTGTTAATCTTTTTAATATATGGGGGTCTCAAGCAAGAATCTAGAAGGGTAGAGGAAAAATTATTTTTCTTCTCTTATAAGACCAAAACAAACAAATGGTGTAAATGCCCCAATTAACCACCCACTACTTAGTTGCAGGGAGGACAGGATAGTACCAAGGCTGTGCCAGTGCCTTTACTAGCCACCTCTCGTCCATCATTCTAGCAACTCCTGCCATCCCAATGCCCCTTGAAGTCTCCCTGGACTGATCTGAGATAAACACTCAGTGTTCTTACTTGCAAGCAATCGAAACTGATTACCCCATGTAGAAAGAGGACTTGTTGAAATGATAGGAGGTGCCCACAGAATCAGCAGGAAACGAAAGACCCTGATTAGGAGATGGGCAGGTACCAAAGGGCTCCAGGGGCTGGGTGCAATGGCCCTGAAATGATCGTGACCCTCCCTTCAACTTTACCTTTCCTTCCATATTCAAAGTTGTGGGTAGGAACTCACCCCATCTGTCTCCAGTGTGGGAGGTGAGGCATAGGCAGTACCCTTCTTTCTGATACATCTGCATGCAAGGGGGTTTCCCCAAAAAAGGTAAGAGGGATGGTTACTGGACTGCTCCTCAGAATTCAAGCACCCTACATATGGCCTCTCCCCATTCAGTCTCAATGCCAAGCTGCAGCAAGGGTTTCCAAATTGAAGACTAAACCTGATGATTAGAGAGGTGAAGACAGCTGGTCAGAAATGGTGCTGAGGGATGGGGCACCTGGGTGGCTCAGTCGGTTAAGCATCTGCCTTTGGCTCAGGTCATGATCTCGCAGTCCTGGGATCGAGCCCTGCCATCAGGCTCTCTGCTCCCCCTCACTCCCCTCTGTGCTCTCTCTGGCTCTTGCTCTCTTTCTCTCTCAAATAAATAAATAAAATCTTAAAAGAAATGGTGCTGAGGGTAATATGGAGGAAAGAGACTTCCTACTGGCCAGTGGGTGCAAGCAAGGAGTGAACATTTGTTAAGCACCTATTATGTACCAGACACTAATTAGGCATCTTACATGCTTATCTCCTTTAATCTTCTCACCATCCCTGAAAAGTCAGTATGATTATGTTTGTAAGAAAGAAAATAGAAGGGCAAGGCAACCTATCTGAGCTCTTACAACTTGTTTAAGTGGTAAGGCCCTTCAAGATCCTTCTGGCTGGACTAAGAATCGTTTGACCTGAGACAGATTAACAGGGAAAAAATCAAATTTCATTTCATATTTAGCGGGAGTCCACACAGACATGTAAATTCCAAAGACAGTCAAGCGAAATGAGATATATATGTCTTTCTGAACTGAGGAGAAGGGGGTAGGAGTCTAGGAATGAAATTCACAGGAAGATGAAAAAGAGTACATGTTTGGTAAACAAATGTTTGGGCCACTCAGGAACAGTGGGACATGGAGGACTTTGATCAAACAGGCCTTGCCAGGCTCCTTCCCGTCTACCATACCCAGTTCATATCACAATGTATATACCTATGGTGACAGCTCTCTTCCTGGCAGATCCTCTATCTAAATTCATTTTAGGCAGTTGAGGGGAAGTAAAGAGCTTTTCCTGAATCTGCTGGGCCAGAAGTCAAGCCCAGTACATATGATGGGTGACAGAATGTGGGGAGGAGCCCAACTTTTCCTCTAGACTAAGCCAAATCCCAGTGCTTGGGGCAGGAGGAGTCTAGGCAGAGCCAGAGACATCAAGACCCTCTCAGATCCCTGAGCACAGTCAACTCTCAGAGGGCAGTAGACAGACTGGAATCCTCACTCAGTTCTTTAGTCAGCTGGGTTGACAATTCCCCAGGACAACTGTGGGCTGGAAGAGGCTTGTGTCACCAGCCAGCATTTGTCCAAACCCTAATGGGGTTTGGGGAATGCCCAAACCTATCTTAGGATGCTTGTCCTGCATCTCCAGGATAGCAGGAACCTAGCAGAGAAGCCCAGGTCTGAGCAAACAGCCCCCAGATGGCCTTCAGTGCCCAGGCAACCCACTTCTAGCTACTCACCCAAGCAGCAGCCTCTCCATCCCCGTAGAGAGCCCAAGGCTGGTGGTATAGAATCCCACAAGAGACAGCTATGGAGAGAATGGGGGAGGGCTTGAGTGCCTCCCAAGTGGAGCAGATCAACCCCAGATCATTTCATAGAAGGCTGCTTTAGGACTGCTCACAACCTAAATCTGAGCAGGTGTACTTCAAGGAGTGGTCACTGGGTGTCACCTTTGCTTCCTAGGTATGTGCCCTCATCTGTGAGCTACTGCTGGGGCATGGTGGAAAGAGAAATTCCTTCTTTGAAACTCAGTTTACAGGCCTGACACCTTTTGTGTCTTCTATGAACCCCACAATGTCTTCACCCTTTTTATCCCCTGTCCCTCTGGGCTGACCTCGATGGCATCATCCATCATGGAGTTGCTCCCTGGCCCCTCTCTCCTTGCTAGCTTGGAGCAGATACCAGCAGCTGAAGAAGATCACATGGCAAGATTGGCCTTGCTGTTGGTTCGTGATCACAGACCATGAACAGGCACATATTGCTGGTGAGCCATCTGTCCACAGGGATCCAAGTCTCACTCTTCTATTCCTTTAGACAATGACTTCATATTGTCAACCCTCCCACATCCCTCTTGCACTCTGTCTTCCTTCCAAAAGAAAAAGAAACAAGTACTGACTTCCTCATCCTTTCACCATGAAATCTCTATACTTGCCAGTGTTCGTACACACCCTCTCTTCTTCCACTTCTGCTCTGAATCCAACCCTCCCTCCCTCCCACCTTCTCAAGATCCTGGATCCTTTGCCTTTTTCTACCTTCTTCTGAATTACTATCTCAGTCTATCCTGCCAAATTCCCATCAGCAAACAATTGAGCTCATCTTAAATCTCTCTCTCTGCATACCAAGTGACTGGCTACCAGCCCGTCTCGGTTCCCTTTCAGCACTAAATTTCTCCTTTTGTCTCAACACCATCTGAAAAGATGTCTCTACTGACCATCTCCATTCACTCTTCTACCTGCTCAAATTTGCCTGATGCCCGCCTTGCTCCAGAGAGTTGACTTCTCAAGGTCACTATGATCTCCATGTCTCCAAACGCAGTGGATGTCCATGTCTCCTTTTAACACTCTCCCCAGGATGGTGCACAGCAGACAGACCACTCTCTCTCCTCTTGGGTTCCATAGCCCCACCCTCTTCTGATTTCTCAGATTTCTCCTCCTTAGTGTGTCTGTTCTCTACCATCTGATTCTAAATACTATAATTTCTTTAACCTTGATTATGAAAAGTCTTCTCTCTTCCATTTTACCTCATGCTTCTAGGTTATCACACCCATTCCTGCTGATTTATATATTTATCACCTTTTATGCAACGATGCCCAAATTTGTATCTTTGGTCCAGTCCTTTCTATTTGGCATCTCTGTTTGCAGGTTTCACTGGTATTGAAAACTTAACATGTCCAGAATGGAATTCCCAATTTTCACCTCTCCCAAAACACCTGTCCTCCTTCCTCCAGTCTTCTCCAGCCCTGCAGCTGGTACCACTGTCCACCACACTGCTCAAGCCCCAAAGCGGGGAAGCATCACTATTTCCTCACTGCTCACATCCATCCCGTTAGCAAATCGTATTGATTCTCAGATTCACTTCAGATCACTTCTCCTCATCTTGTGTACCACCCACACTGATGAGGGCCACCGTCATCTCTCTACTAAAGCTATACACAATATTTCTAACTAATCTTCCCATTGGCACACTCTTCAATCTATTCTTGACATAGCAGCAGCAGTGATAGAAAAGTTCTGTATCTTAATCTGGATACATATATGTAAAACTTTGATGAGGTGTGTTCACATTTGTACACTTTACTGTAGGATAAACCTCAACCAGAAAAATAAAAAATGAACAAGATGTCAATCCCCCAGTTAAAACCCTTCAGTGGCTTCACACGGTCTTCGGAATAAAATCAACCCTGTAGGACTTGGCCCCAGCCTTTTCCTCCAACATCATTGCCTACTGTACTTATCCCTTGCTTGCCAGAACCCAGCTGCCATGACTTTCATTAATTTTCTCTAACAGGCTAAAGCTTTCCTGCCTGCCTCAGGACCTTTGCTCAGGCTGTTCCCTCAGCCCAGAATCCTTTGCTATGCTTAGCCCCTTTCTTCCTTCACATCACCTACCTAGGCTTACCCAGACCACCACGTCTAAAATATATCAGCCCATTTATTCTTCCTCCTTCTACATTACTGTATTTTTATAATGCTACAATGTTTTTCCACACTTGGGATCAGCTTCCACATTTGACAGACCCTCATTACACCCATGCTATTATGCTAAGTGCTACATAGATAACCAACAACATGAGTCTTCTGTTCAAAGAACGACAAAAAAAATCCTTTTTTATTGTTGTTGTTCTTTTAGATCTAAGTAGATGTGCTTTAAAAAAAAAAAAAATCATCAGTTCATTCCAGTGCAGCAGTCTCCACCCTGGGGCTGAAGATGGGAGAGATGAGAGATCATGAGTACACGGTGTGGTGGGTTGCATTATGTCCTCCAAAAAGACAATAGGTAAGTTCAAACGGGAGAAGCATGCCTCAGAAAAATTTTAAAGCCATAAACAACAAGCATAACAAAATGCCTTTCTTATTTATTTTTTTACAAATTAAGTCAGAGGCTAAAAACACAGGATCCAGAGACCAGGTGTGTAGCACCAAGACTCCTATTGCAACAGGTATCTATCAGATACCTTGTCTTCCAACTCAGTCCTCTGACCCATCTGATTATTTTTGACAAGTGCAATCATTTCAACAACAGAGCCATTCAGAACACTTCATTTATACAAAAGCTCTTCCAAGAGGATCTCTGCTTAACTGCTCCAAGGATCTCTCTGCTGGTGACAGCTCTTCTGTGGTTATAGAAGGACAGTCTGACTGCCTCCAGGCTAACCCGTTCCAGCAGCCAATCCTCCAGAGAGCCCAGTGCATCCAAGATCCAGGAGCATCCACTGAAGTCTGGGTGAGTCTGGGAAAGAAATGGCACAAGGGTAAAACAGTGAAGTGAAGGCTTGTTAAAGTAAGCAATTTATGGTCTAACCCCGCACCCATGCCTTCCATGGACTGGTGCACACGTGGAGCCACACGACCCACCTGGAGGTACAATGGTAGGAATGTGATGAAAGAAATTAGGCCATTGTACCTATCAACTGTCTGAGGAAGATCGGGGAGGGGGAATGTGTAGCTGGTGAGAAAAATCACCCTTATCTGTGGAATACAGACTAACTCTGGTCACTTAAATTTCGTGCCTCGATTTTTCCCAACAGAAGTGGAGTTAACACCCAACACCTTTGGAAGATGGAAAATATAATTTTAGAATAGACATGCACACTCTATATTTCACATCAATGAGCTTTTTTTTTTTTTTTTTTAACACTTCTCAGTTTGCAGCCTTACATCCTTGCACCAACATGATCTCTAGCCACTCTGGGAAAACTCACTCTTCCTCGGATATGTCCCTATTGTTTCCGGTCTCCACGCCACTGTCGCTCTGTCACCCCTACCTACCATGTCCACACCCAACCCCACCTTTCAAATCCTATCCACCCTTGAAAGCTCTTCTCCAGGTGCCCCCTCTAGCTTATGTGTGTTCCACACAACCTCCCACTGAGGACCAGGGCTCTTTGCGTTCTCAGAACCTGTATCACACGCCGCCTTATATCATTAACAACCTTGTCTAAAGTTAGAGAGGCAGCTGGACTAGTCAGAAGAACGCTGCCCTGAGAATCGCCCACCCAGGGCTCTAACCCTAGCTCTGTGCGGGTATGAGATGTCACGTAAGCAAGTAATGGTCTCACACTGGACCTCCGTTTCTCTTTTGTAAAAGGAAAGTCTTGAAGCAGGAATTGAAAAGTTCCTCCTGGTTCTAATAATTTAGGAGTATTTCCTCAATGCCCCCATCTTGCAGGACTGGGAGCCCCTTTGTGATAGAAACCACATTGTTTTCATCTGAGCTTCCCCAGCAGACCTGGCTTGCACGGAGACATTCACTACGTTTATCCAGCCAGCATCTTGTTTTATCCTCACAGCACCACGAGGCGCTGCCCAAGGCACAGCCCTGACCCTTGGGACGCTTGCAGAAGCAGAGTGGCCTGCCAGACCCATTCAGTAAAAGGACAGGACTAATGATTAGAGGGTGAAGTGTAGTCCAAGTACTCCTACAGAGAGCCCTTCCAGAAAATGCAGTGGAGGTTCTCAACTGGGGGCAATGTCTCTGGGCATTTTCAGGTGGGAGGGAGGCTGCTACTGGCATCCACGGGACAGAGGCCAGAGATGCTGTCCCGTATCCCACAATGCTCAGGACAGCCCCCCAACAAAGAATTAAGCAGTCCCAAAATGTCAATAGTGCTGTGGTTGAGAAACCCTGCTCTAGATCACATACCTTCCTTCCTTTCTCCTATCTTTCCTTAATCCCATTTCCCCCTTCTTCTCACAGGATAAACAACAGATTCCAAATGATACCACTGGAATACAGGGGGTTTGGATACAATCACACATGAACACTCAGCCTCGCTTCATTGTCATGAAGAAAATCCAAAATCAAGCCTTAGTCCATCTGTCGTAAAATCTCCTTATTCTGTTCCCCATAGCTTCTTTTGAAGGGGAAGACTTTTCTGAGTTTGTTCTCTGCAATTTTACGCTATGGGGTGAGGCTGGGTGGGCAGGAGGAAGGAATGAAAGCCCACCCTAAATTTTAGGTACATTCTAAGTACAGAGCACCATTTAGTGAAAACCTGACATATGTCACTCTTCAAAGAATAAGATGAGACTAGGTGGTGAATCCCCTCTCTATAAGAGGGCATTTAAGAATCAATTTATAGATTGCCTGTCAACAGATACGAGACACTGGGAGCTCAGGTGTTCAGAGTTGCTACCAACAGGAAGCAAGCCAAGCGGGAAAAGATAACCATTAGCAGTTCCAGTTTATAGAAGCTGTGTGCACACAACTTTTCAGGAACTCGAGGTGTGAAGAAGCGCTCCCGTACGAGGAAAAAGCCGCAGTCGAGAAAACACACTCAGGGCCTCTAAAATGATAACCTGTCTCAGCCATTCTAAGTCTCCACAAAGAGAGCCCCAACTCACTTGCTTCACGATTTTCCCCATGTAACTAAAATAGGCCTCCTTCTTCTTCCTCCTCTTCTGCCTCAAGGCTGAGTTGGCCTGCTCATATTTCTCTTTGGCTGGGATATAAAGTGTAGTCCTCTTCTTAGGGAATCTCGGGACATGTAAGCAAATGTAGTACATGTGGAAGCCTTAATCCTTACACTTCTAGATTATAGCAGCGGCTGTAGGCGAGCGACCAACCCCCCCCCACCGGAAGAGGTTTTATAGGGAGAGCTGGAAGGCACTCTTTCCTAATAAAATCAGTGATTAGTGATTGCACCTGCCGGAGATGAATACTCTCAGAATACTTAAGAAATATTAGGTGTAGAGTCTAAAATAGGCTTACGGTACATTCCAGAAAGGGGCTTGAGGTGGGAAACTCAAAATGTTAAGCTTTCCTCTGCTCTAGCTCATGCGATAGTGAAGATGACCACTTTGATGTAATGGCTATTAATTTACCAGGCAACACTGATCTCCAAAGCTATTCCTTTTACGTGTTGGAGTAACTCCAGGTGTTCTTATTATAGTGGGCTCTTGGCCGCAAAAATTTCAATTCAAAAAGACTGGGAGTGGAATCTGGGAAGCCGAAGTTTTTGCTAAAGCAGCCCTGGTGAATCTAAGGACCAGCCAGATTTAGGATTCACTGGTCTAAAAAACCTTCCTGAAGCAACTGCACAGGACCAGGGGTTGGGGTGAAAGGAGCAGCTCTGCACAGATGTGCTCTGGGTATTTGCATTTGCACCCGGAGGACCGCCTGGTGTATGCCACAGCAATTAGGAACTCAGGTGACAAAGCAGGAATAGGGAAGCCAGGAAGTCACCGTACCTTCAAGAGTGAAGGTTGAGAAACTGTAGATAGAGAGGCCGTGAACTCCCTGCAATTAGTATTATCAGCTCAGCTACAAGGAAGTGACCAGCCTGACACGAATCAACAGATAAGAGAACACCAGAGAGCCAGGGTGTCAAAGGAAGAAAAGAACCAGATGACAAGAGACTCCTTCCTTTCTCAGTGATGAGCCGCACTGAAGCCCGGGTGCCAGGGACTGGTGGGTTCTGATAGGACTATATAGACATCTCATTTCATGGTTTTAATACTCAGAGATAGATGTTATCATCTCTTTAAAAGAGATGAGGAGGGGCGCCTGGGTGCTCAGTAGGTTAAGCAGGTCATGATTCCAGGGTCCTGGGATCCAGCTCCGAATCGGGCTCCCTGCTCAGTGGAGAGCCTGCTTCTCCCTCTGCTCCCTCTACCCCCCCACCTCCCACCAATCCCACTCATGCTTGCACACACTCTCTCAAATAAGTAAATAAAATCTTTTTTAAAAAGAGAGAGAGATGAGGAAACCAGGGCTTATAAAGATAAACTAATTTGTTCAAGGTTACACAGGTAGTAAGTTGCAAAGCTAGGAACTGAACCCTGATGTGTCTGACACCAAAATTCCCATCATTATTTCTCAAGTTAGGCCTCCTGCCCACCTGCAGCAGAGTCTCCTGAACTGCTTATTAAAATGAAGATCCAGGGCACCTGGGTGGCTCAGTCATTGAGCGTCTGCCTTCGACTCAGGTCATGATCCCGGGGTCCTGGGATCGAGCCCCGCATCGGGTTCCCTGCTCAGCGGAAAGCCTGCTTCTCCCTCTCCCACTCCCCCTGCTTGTGTTCCCTCTCTCGTTGTGTCTCTCTCTGTCAAATAAATAAATAAAATCTTTAAAAATAAAATAAAATAAAATGAAGATCCCCAACCCCTGTCCTATACCTCGGTACAGGTATCTAAAACTTGGGTGCCACTATACACCATTGCTTCCTGAGTCTGGGGAAAATGCTGCTCTGATTGGAACCCTACTCAGTTACAGGAGAGTTAGAAAGGGTGGGGACACTAGGAGAAAGTGATTGTGATGTGGCTAAGCACAGACACAGACCTTAGACACTGAGAAAGCAGACTTTACAGAGATTAACATAATAGTGTTGGAAATCTATGGATAGAAACTCTAAGAGGGAGGTCTACTCAAGAAAATTAGAAGGCTGTTCCTTAACCGGCCATGGCCTTGGCCTCCCTCCTTGATTATAATTCACTTCAACCTGGTCCTATCTTGGTGGAATATCAGCTCCAAAGGACAAACAAGGCTCATAAATAGGGATAATGAGTAACAAGAGCAAAAGACGGGACAATTGGAATTCAGGGCATGGAGTGAGTCTGGGCAGTGACTTGAGGAGTAAGCCTGAGTTAAAGGGTGTTGGAGTTGCTTTTATGCAGAGATGTCTACATGGCATGGGGGAGGCCTAATGAGTCAAATGGCCGAGGTAGATCCAGGCATTGCAGCACATTGTAGAGGGGATTCGGACATTGGGTGGGATATTAGATTATATGGCCTCTGAGGTCTCCTAGGTTTTGTGGATTCTACTTTCCCCCTGTATCATTTTTTTAGGGGTCAGGTTGGCAGAATTTGAATAGAAGTATTGCTCAGATTGTTTCTACCTCTGGATAGTCTGCAGAATTAATCCAGTTGAATGGAAAGAGTCAGAGGTTCACACGGTGCATTTTAACATCATTGTATTTTGTGATCTTAATTCTAGGAGATGAATACTGCTACAGCTCACCTGTTGAGAAACTCTGGGTGGATCGCAGGAGGAGAGAGGATCTGGGGGGCAGATTAGAAGATGTCACCTTGGGAACAATGTCACACTCTTCCTGTGTGTCAGCTCTGTAGCTACTAATTGAATATTAATGGTGGATGATATTAGTACTGACTACTTGCTATTTTGTCAGATGGAGGGAAGAAAGGAATCCAAGTTTTTCCCAGCCCCAGCAATATCTTATTTAACCTCTCTGCCAAGCTTTTAGAGGAGGAGAAAAAAGTACAGAGGAAA